GCTTGAAACCCCATTGTGGCCCAGTCCCTTCCTTACCTGCTGTGCACCTGATATCATATATGACATTAGGCATAGGGCAGGTGTGTGTAGCTTGACCCAGATGGCCTTGTGGGTGAAACAGGGAGGGCCTGGTGGATTTAGTTATTCCTGCAGTTTGAAAGTTCCCAACTCCTGATGCCATCCATTCCATGTATTACATTCCACCCCTGAATCTGAGCAAGAGTGGAATGGACACACCCTGGGCTCAGCCAAAGATTCTCAGCATGGGGGAAAATGGTTCCAATATATCCCAAGAAAGGAGATGGGCACTATGCATGTCAGCTAATTTTTCATGAAGAAAACAAGGAATGGCTTCTAGAGATCCCACAACACTTACACTCCAGAACCTTTCAAAAATATTGTGAAAGCAAAACAAAAAGTATTGAGGTATACTCACTTTAGGAGAGGTGGGTACATCCAGTCAGCATCTTGTTTCAAAAGGAATTGGAACTATAAAAGTACGTGCCTTTGCCCACCATCCTGCTAGGTGTGATCCCCAGTAAACCAGGCTCCATCGAATCAAGAAGGGCAGTTGAAGAGTGTGGAAAGAAATGAAGGGATTTACAGATTTCAGTATGATCGAGATGAAATGAAAAAGAAATATGAATATCTGTGGGAACAATCAATGTGTGATATGGCACATAGCTTAAAAAGGCTTAAGGGGAGGATTTTGATAGCTTAAGGTTCTTCCCCCAAAACACTGTTTTCAAGCTTGATTTCAAGGCCATGGTTTATTTATTTGGAAGAAGAAGATTTGATTGCCATGAAAGTATATCCAACAAAGGTCTTCATCCTAGACCAGTGTTCCCCAACCTTGGGCCTCCAGCTGTTTTTGGACTACAATTCCCATCATCCTTGACCACTGGTCTTGCTAGCGAGGGATGAAGGGAGTTGTAGTCCAAAAACAGCTGGAGGCCCAAGGTTAGGGAACACTGTCCTAGACCATTCTCCATGTACCATGGGGCTGGACTGGGGAGCTCATTTCAGTTTTCCTGGCACCCATAGGGTCCACTGAACCCCATCTTTCAGCAGAGGCTGCTTCATTTGGGTGCCTGGGACACTGCCCCACCTACCTCCCCAGAGCTCTGAGCAACCTGCTTCCACAAACCAAAGAGATGATCTTCCATCCTTGTTGTCCACCGTTAGTTCTGAATTGATTTGGAATGCCCTTTTATGTCTGGGGCGCGGGTGGTGCTGTGTTCTAAACCACTGAGCCTCTTGGGCTTGCCGATCAGAAGGTCGGCAGTTCGAATCCCCGCGACGGGGTGAGCTCCCGTTGCTCAGTCCCTGCTCCTGCCAACCTAGCAGTTTGAAAGCATGCCAAAACGTGCAAGTAGATAAATAGGTACCTCTCTGGCAGGAAGGTAAACGATGTTTCCATGCACTGCTCTGGTTTCAGTGCTCCATTGCACCAGACGCGGCTTAGTCATGCTGGCCACATGACCTTGAAAAACTGTCTGCGGACTAACGCCGGCTCCCTCGGCCTGTAAAGCGAGGGAACGTGGCAACCCAAAGTCGTCTGCAACTGGACTTAACTGTCAGGGGTCCTTTACCTTTTCCTTTACCTTTATGTCTACTGTCTTATGCACTAAGCTTGGACTTGTGTGAGCCTGTCCATTTATGGATTGGGATACTCTTGCACCCTACCTTGGGGTAGTGAACCTTTTTTTGATGCTGAGACCACATTTCTTTCTGGGCAACCTAAGATGGGTATGGCTGAGGGGAAGAGTGCCAAGAGCTAGATAGAGAGTCCTAGAGGGCCACATTGGGCCCCGGGGCCTGCGCTTCCCCACCCATGTTCCGTATCACAATGCGACATTTTGTTGCAAGCCTCACTTGTTAATATAAACATAGATCTGCGGTAGCTAATCTGTGGAGTTCAGCAGCATCTCAGGGGCCACAGGTTGTCTCCCACCATGATACAGATATATAAAAGAGTCAGTATGGTGCAGTGGTTAGAGTGTTGGACTTATGACCTGGGAGACCAGGGTTCGAATGCCCAGTCAGCCATGATGAAGCTCACTGGGTGACCTTGGGCCAGTCACTCGCTCCCAGTCTAACCTACCTTACAGGGTGTTTGTGGGGATTAAGTCGGGGGGGGGGACCCTGTACACCATCTTGAGCTCCTTGAAGAAAAAGTGGGGTATAAATGCAATAAATTAAATAAAATAATGAGAGAAAGCTGATTTATCAGATTCCTTCATGTGTGTGAACATGTCTCATGTGAACTGGTCTGTATACAATGCTTGTGATTTGTCTTTAGTTATTCCAGCACCTGCTCCTTCCTGTCGCCATTCTTGAGCTGCAGGCCAAGTCCATCAAATCTACCTGTACTTTAGTATCGGTGGGACCAGGCAGAATAATAATAATAATAATAATAATAATAATAATAATAATAATGAACTTGAACTGATTGACTTCCATGCTTCATTCTCTGTGCAGAAATCATCTTCTCCAGAAACATTCCCAGCTGCGAAGATGGATATGAAAGGCTTATTATTTATCCTGAAGCTCAGAACAACAACAAATCTTTCACATGCTAAAAACAAACAAAATAAAAATAAAAACTCAAGGTATTCTATAACTCTACATGTTTTATTTGGGTATGCATTTATTCTGTTTTTTGTGCATCAACAATAGAGGAGAGTTCTCAAAATTGTCAGGAAGTCTTTTCTTTTCAAACGAACATGAAATAGCTATCAACCTCCTTAAAAGAGATTGCTACAAGTAATTCTCACTTCTTATGTGCCCTACATCCTTCTCAGCAGATAGATCTCTGCACTGTAGGTCTGCTGTACATTTTGCAAGCTTTTGACCTACTTTTATCTAGGGATAGACAGGTCAATGTCTTTCCAGGCCATGTCAATTCCCTCCAGCCTGGACATTTCTCCCAGCAGCAAACGCTGATGGTTTCTCACCCTTGTCCAGAGGCTTCAAGACTGTGCTAAGCTTTATGAAGAACTACTGATCAGCTTCTTCCTATTTTGGAACGGAATCTGCACTCAGGTTACTTGAACTCATAGAGACTAGGGGACAGGGCTACAACTAAACCGAAAAGATTCTCTGAGAATTTTCTACCCTAGGTTCTCCTCCAACTATTGGAGGGTGTTGTTAATGAAAGCGCACACATCTGTTTGTGTATTAAATGTTCCTTAATAAAGAAATATATTAAATCTATTAATCGTGTATATTAAATAATATTATACTGCAAACACTTAAATTTATGATCTGGAAAGCTTCCTTGTTGAAGGACTCTTGTGGCCCACTTGGTCTGAGAGGCTAGACCACCCTGGTCTAGCTCAGTACCGTCAGCAATGTCCAACAGCAGCTCTCTGAGGTCTCAAGCAGAGCTTGTTCCCATCACCCACTTTCAGAACCTCAGGGGATCAGATGTTGTGTATGGAACCACAGGCTCAGCCACTGAGCTACTCTGTGTCCCCCAAGCCTTGGGATTATGATAATCAGCCTCTTCACAACAATTTCCACCCAAATATCTGAGATATCAGAGTGGTGTTTCTCTCCTATTCCTGCATTGGGTCAAGTGGATGTTTTGGCAACTGTGCCAAATTTGCTCAGTGCTTTGCTGTGGTTTTTTTTTCCCCTCCACCCCTTGGCAGTGCCTCTGAGGCTATTCCCAGTGCAATATCTTAATTTATTTTATTTCAGGGCTCTTGGCAGAAGCTGCCACAATTGGTTCCAAAAAGTTTCCCAACACCTTTGCTGCACCGCATATTTTAAGGAGCTCATAGCCTGAAGGGAAGATAACAAATGTGAAAGCAGGGAAGATCTGATTACTGCTACTGATTCCGTGATGAGATAGCAAGTTATTTTAACAACTTAAAGGCAGACCGACAACACATACAAGTAAAAACTCCCCAGGCTGCAGTATTATTATTATTTTCTTAATAGGATGCATTCAACTTAGTACATGAATTAGCCAGGAGACAATAAACATCCATGTGGTTATTTGCTTTAGAATATTTTTTGTGGGTATTTGTGAGCTCAGTCTTCTGCAGTGATGTAGTGAATCTTAGTGATCCAACTTTGAATTGTCATTTCGGAGCGGACTCATTCTAAAGTCCACCTTCATTCTAAAGAAGTGTTAAAAGTATACTTACTTGAACAAGTTCACCTTCCTGCAAGCGGGTGGGGGCTGGCTGAGGGTGGGGTTGCACCTTTTTTTTCGTTCTCATCCTTGACATTGTAGAACTCAGCGGGGGGGGGGGAGAGATGGGGAGAAAACTAGAATCAGCTGGCTCCCTCTGTCATGGGCTCTGACTACATTTGCTATTGGCCTCCCTATCTTCTGGCACACCAGTCCCAGTGGCCGGCAGCTGCTACTGGTGCAAGTCATGCTGCCACGGCAGATGCTGGGAGAACAACTTTCTGTGGAACAAAATATGGATGCATGGGGAGGACTAACTTCATGCATTCCTAAAACAACAAGAACCATGATGCTAATGAGGGGGGAACCCACAAGAATGAAATTGCACACTAGCTAAAGTGAGCCTTGGAGGATTTTGTAGACATGGCTGCAAATTCATCCAATTCGTATTTGAAACCTAAGGAAAGGATACAATTTCTACCAATACTTTCCCCCTCTTAAACTGTATATTGTTCCCATCTCCCCATGATGTTGTTGTTTAGTCGTCTTAGTCGTGTTCGACTCTCCATGACCCCGTGAACCTTGGAAACTCTCACTTTCTTCTCAAAGCTTCTCCTTTTTTTTATGTCCAGGGAGTTTTCTTGGCAAAATACTGGAGTGGCTTGCCAGTTCCTTCTCCAGGTGGATCACATTTAGTCTAAAGTCTCAGCTATGACCTGTCTGTCTTGGGTGGCCCTGCATGGCATAGCTCATAGCTTCTTGGAGTTATTCAAGCCCCTTCGTAACGACAAGGCCATGATCCATGAAGGGGCCCCATGATCTACTTGGCCATAAAAGCAACTTCCTTTGGAGAAGGGGCATAGCTCAGTGATGGAGCCTCTGCTCTGCATGCAGAAAATCCCAGGTTCAATCCCAAGTATCTCCAGGTAGGGCTGGAAAAGTCCCTGCCTAAAACCCTGGAGAACTGTTGCCAGTAAGTCTAGAGAATACTGATCTAGATGGACCAGTAGCCTGACTTGGCACGAGGTACCGTCTGATGTTTTTGCTATGTTCCCTTGCTATTGACTTATTCATGTGACAACCAAGGGAGCAAGCAGCAGCATTTCTAAGGCTTCAAGGAGGCAAATTATTTTCTAATGAGAGAAGTCTTCAAATCCATTAACCTGCCTTTCCTTTAGTTTACATATTGCTAACCTCACTTCCCATCTGTTTAAGGCTTCTAATTTTATTTTATTTGCTTCACGTTCTTTCCAGAGTTGGCACCCCAGCTACTACATTACTTCCACTAATATCTTTGGCAAAACATCTGGAAGAGTTGGGGGCTTCTTGTATCTGCTTGCATTGCTATCCTGGTGTGGTATATATATATGTGTGTGTGTATATGCATATGTACACACACACACACACACACACACACACACACACACAGTGGTACCACCTCGGGTTAAGTACTTAATTCGTTCCGGAGGTGTGTTCTTAACATGAAACTGTTCTTAACCTGAAGCACCACTTTAGCTAATGGGGCCTCCTGCTGCTGCTGCGCCGCCAGAGCACGATTTCTGTTCTGAAGCAAAGTTCTTAACCTGAAGCACTATTTCTGGGTTAGCAGAGTCTGTAACCTGAAGCGTATGTAACCTGAAGCATATGTAACCCGAGGTACCACTGTGTGTGTGTGTGTGTGTGTGTGTGTATTATAATACAGTGGTACCTCTGGTTGCAAACGGGATCCGTTCTGGAAGCCCATTCGCAACCTGAAAAGAATGCAACCCGTGTCTGCGCGCACACGGGTTGTGATTCACTGCTTCTGCGCATGCGCGTGATGTAGTTTTGCACATCTGCACAGGCCGAGTGGCGAAACCCGGAAGTAACCCTTTCCAGTACTTCCGGGTCACCATGGGACGCAACCTAAAAACACACAACCTGAAGCAAACGTAACATGAGGTATGACTGTATGGGATTCTGGTTTGGGGATCTGCCAGGAAGTTGATTTAATAAGAAGAGCTCCCTGTGAAGAGGGATTGACTGTTAAATCACTCTGGCAATTATGAGTGGAATAGGGGAAAACTGGGGTGGGAATGTAAGATCCCACCCCACACCATGAAGATTAGCATTCCTCCCTGCAACATTTAGCTGTAGGTCTCCCTTGGGTGTATAGACATAGCTTTCAGGCATTTTTCCATTTTCCCCTACCCAATTCTGGAAATCCAGCTTTGCTTATTGAAGTGCTCTGCTCTGGCATCACAAATAGTCCTACCAAGGAACAAAGGCAGTCCATCAGCATAAGTTCCAGAACAGAAACTTAGGCATTCCTTAGCCAGGTTTGTAAAACTTTTGAAGGTCAGCCTAATTGCAAACTCTTATTTATAAATTGCTTTCTTGGCCTAACAATGCCACTCACTGTAGATTAAACTTGATACCCTATCTTTGCCTCTTTCTCTTTTTTGTCTTTATGGGAAAGATGGATAAGCAGTTTATTCCCCATAGAAGATTTTTATTACAAAGGTGTTGTTAGATAAGCAACTGAGCTACATAGATATAAAAAAAATGCTCATGAAAATTAAACATTTTAGTGCAAATTTCTCCTAATATACACGTTTGTAGCTTTGATAAATATATACACATTTTTGCAATTATTTTTTGTATATTTTCACCAATATATGGATTCTATGCATACACCTCCTAATATACACATTTTTTTCCTCACTACTTGGCTGGAAAACTGTATTGCAAATTCAGAGAAGTGTGGATTTTGATGGCTCGTTGTGTTTCTGCTCGTGTGTTGGTTCAAAACATATGAGTTAGGACACTTCTCATTAAAATGTAAACAAAATCGAATTTGTCCTCCATCCCTAGCTTGGAATGGTGATTCACACTTCAGGATTATACCAAATATTTGCCTGAATGTTCACCCCACATCAGTGTTGACCAATTCACAAAGGAGGAAAAAGTAACAGTGGGTCTTTCCCTCGGATTGGAGATCATAGCCTGATGATGTCATGATGTTACGACAACACATTGGATGTCAATAAAGTAGCATCATGTTGGGTAATCATGCACAATCCTAGTTAGCTGCATGATGGTATCACCGAAGGTGATTAAGGGCAAGTGAGAGCCATTTAAACAAATGCACGAACATTTTTGTGAGAAATGCTCTGTCTCGCCAGTGGTGCATGCTCTAGTTATCTCCTGCTTGGACTACTGCAATGTGATCTATGTGGGGCTACCTTTGAAGGTGACCCGGAAACTACAACTAATCCAGAATGCGGCAGCTAGACTGGTGACTGGGAGCTGCCGCCGAGACCATATAACACTGGTCCTGAAAGACCTACATTGACTCCCAGTACGTTTCTGAGCACAATTCAAAGTGTTGGTCCTGACCTTTAAAGCCCTAAACGGTCTTGGCCCAGTATACCTGAAGGAGCGTCTCCACCCCCATTATTCAGCCCAGACACTGAGGTCCAGCTCCGAGGGCCTTCTGGCGGTTCCCTCACTGCGAGAAGCCAAGTTACAGGGAACCAGACAGAGGGCCTTCTTGGTAGTGATGCCCGCCCTGTGGAAAACCCTCCCACCAGATGTCAAAGGAAAAAACTACTACCAGACTTTTAGCAGACATCTGAAGGCAGCCCTGTTTAGGGAAGCTTTTAATATCTGAAGGACTGTTGTATTTAATATTTTGTTGGAAGCCACCCAGAGTTGATGGGGAAATCCAGCCAAATGGGCGGAGTATAAATAAATTATTATTATTATTATTATTATTACCAACACCTCAATGGAAAATGTGTCCTTCAGCGCTGCAGAAAATACTGAGACACAACAGTGAGTCATTTGGGCTGAGCCAAAGTTATGCATCTTCTAACAGGAAAATATGGAAGCAGTTTGTTAGAAATGTAGATGTATATTCAAGAGCCAGCTACACATGGGTTGTCTTTATCAATATGCAGCCATTGTTCAATGAGCCAACTATTCCTACAGTTCTATCTACCCCACACTCATCAGCGTCTGTCCATACATGCATTTCAATAATTTATCTCCCTATAACTTTTGTGACACTTTATTACACTTTTCATCCTAGCTGTAAATATGCAGAATGCTGTGAATCAACCTTTTGTTCCTGAATATTTGATTAATAGCTAACAGATGCAACTTGCCTCTGTGTATACAATGTTAAATGTAATGTACCAATGCACAATTCATTATTCTAATAACATGTCAGGATAATAAATCAAAGAAACACTCCAGAAGACAGAACTGTAGATGGAGGAAGCCATTTTTTGACCTATGATCTTAAAATGTGATTGTAAAAATGTGATCATTAAAAAAAACAAAAACTATTGAGACTGACACTTAAATTTCAAGTACAGTTACTCACAAGTAACCACCTCAGTTTGATATTTCAAGCTGTAGGCAAGCTGTAGCACATCTACTCAGGAGTAATCATCTTCAGCTGCAATCCCATAGACCAAGGACGGAGAATCACTGGTCTATCAGAGGTAGTTAGACACCATAAACCCCAGCCAGCATAGCCAATGGCTGGGGATGATAGGTGTAGCAGGCCAGAAACATCTGGAAGGCCCCGCACCCCTAGCACCTATGGGTAAGACGGCCCTGTTGTTAGACTTCAGCTCCCAATGACCCCCGACCGCATGGTCAAGGATTATGGAAGCTGTAGTCTGCGGACATCTGAAGGGCCCCGGATTCCTCATTCCTGGTAGAATTCTTTGTGTATGAGCTTTATGCTTTCCCCTTGTTTATTATCTTCCTAAAGATACATGATTTTAAAAAGTGTTGTCAGAGCTGGTAGCTGTTGGCACGCCTTTAACATTGTTACCCACCGTGTAAGGCACATAATACACATTCACAGACACAGCAAGCAATTTGTTTTATTATCTAGCGATGCATTTCAGAAACTGCTTTACTTTGTCGTGACCTTGGCGCCTCTCAACAGCTTCAGCAAGCAAGCTCCTGGATACCGAGAAGGGATTATCAGATTTGATAGGCCTTGTGTATTTAATTCTGTGTCTTGTACTGAAAGTCTCAACGCTCAGCATTGATTTCCATGGGCAATTAATATGTTTTGTCGGCAATGCGTTTTTTTCCTCCCTAGGAGAAATGTACATGCCTCATTTGTGTGTGTGTGTTTCATTTATTATTTCAAATATTAGCAGCTCCTGGAAAGGAGATATTCCTAACAAAGAAATGCATTCAGAGCAAGGGAAGTGGTGAAACATTGCAGACTGTGTGCTTTATTTTCTTGCGATTTTATCTTGTTTTGCAAACAACAAAATGAAAGGTAGAGTGGAGGGATGGAGCAGACTGAGGACACGGGACCACTGGATGAAATGTGGTGGTGCTAATGCTGTCCTGAGTATTATTAGTGGACAGGGAATGCCAACTCAAGTAGGAAGCTTACGTACAGGTGAACACCAGCCTTGTTCCCAGTACAGTGGTACCTCGGGTTACATATGCTTCAGGTTACATACGCTTCAGGTTACAGACTCCGCTAACCCCGAAATAGTACATCGGGTTAAGAACTTTGCTTCAGGATAAGAACAGAAATCATGCTCCGGCAGCATGGCAGCAGCAGGAGGCCCCATTAGCTAAAGTACTTCAGGTTAAGAACAGTTTCAGGTTAAGAACAGACCTACAGAACGAATTAAGTACTTAACCCGAGGTACCACTGTACAGTGGTGCCTGGCAAGACGAAATTAATTCGTTCTGCGAGTTTTTTCGTCTAGCGAATTTTTCGTCTTGCGAATCACGAATTCCCATAGGAATGCATTGAAAATCAATTAATGTGTTCCTATGGTCAAAAAAAGTCCAAACAAAGCCAAATTTGGTATAACAACCTCCCCAACTGTTGCAAACCCCTCCCCAACTGTTCCCCCAGTCACCCAGCACACAGAAATTCAAATCCAGAATTTTTTTTAAAAAACAGCAGAGTGGCCCAGTGGTCACAGAAAATCACAAAAATGCAGAAAAAAACACACAAGCTTCCAGATTCCTGCAGACCCCTCCCCAACTGTTCCCCCAGCCACCCAGCACACAGAAATTCAAATCCAGAATTTTTTTAAAAAAACAGCAGAGTGGCCCAATGGTCACAGAAAATCGTAAAAAGACACACAAGCTTCCAGATTCTTGCAAACCCCTCCCCAACACCAAGTCCTTGAATTCCAAACACCCCAACCCAAAATCCAAACCCCCCCAAAAAAGTTTTAAAAGCTTAACTTGGCTGCAAAAGAAGTTTTGGAAAAGCTTCAAAAATCACCAAAGTCTTTAAAAACCTCAAAAAAGGCTACTATGTACACTGCGTTCTATGAGTTGCTCCTTGAAGTCAAGTCGCAACTGTATTAACAGTGTTAAGAAAAAGGAAACAAACTTGCAAGACGTTTTCGTCTTGCGAAGCAAGCCCATAGGGAAATTCGTCTTGC